TATGCTGAAAAGTGAAAAAACAGCATAACTTCTACAAAAATGGCCGGATCATGCTGATTTTCGAACTTGACCTGCGTTTTATGAATATTCATCAGCTCTGTAAATATAAAGCCAAAAAGTAAAACTGCCTTCCACTTATCGTGTTTACAAGGAAAGTGCACGGCGACGGCATCGCCATCGGCGACGACAGACGCAGGTGATGGCAATATGTACAGACACATCTGTGTCTGTACATAAAAATGAACTTTGATGCATTTGTTTAACTTTGTAACAGATAAAAAGAATAACACCTTTTAAGTTAAAACTATGACATCCAACATTTTTAGAACACAATATTAATTATTTTTTGTGTTACGTTCAAATTCACAGAACGCCTCTTAGGCTATGATTTGGGGTTACGGACACTACACATTCAAGCAACTGATGCTTTTGTAACTGAAATATCATATTGTTTACCAATTATTTTTGCCAACATTCTAAAAATATCAAAATAAAGATATAACAACAGTACTTTAACCAAAAGGATACAAGTGCATGTATTAATCAAAATGATTTTGGAGAAACGCCACAGCACATTTTTCAGTGGATGCTGGCGTTTGGCTATGTGTCATTCAGTTTTACTATCATTCACCAGAGTTTAATTTAAACTTTTTCTTTCTGTTGCTTGGTCTTTTTTTTATTTATTTATTTTTGTTTCAGTCTTGATTCACGTTTTTTGAGTATTTTCTTCTTTTTCATCTCTTGTTAATTTGCACCTCTTGCTCTGCTGTTTTCAGGATTGTTAGGTTTCTGCTTCTCCTTGACTCTCTGTTAGTATGCCTTAATTTCTTCTCTCATCTTTAGTCTTTCTTGCTGGGCCAGCCTTGGATGATTCTTCATTTTTGCTTCTCTGCTATGTTACGTGTATTCAACATCTTCCTTACGTGCTTCAGCATGACTATTAGCTCTCTGATGTTTTATTTTTCAAATTATTTTTGCTGACAGTAAAAATTTCAGGTTTCCCTTTTCTTTTCCTATTTGGCTTTTGTTCATTGTCATCCATGTCTGATACTTCATCCACTGAGAGTATTATAAATATACATCTGTTAATTATGCATGTATTGTAGTGTCCGTAACCCCTAACCCCTCAAAATATATCATATACATTAATCCATAGAATATTAATCCATATATAATTTATTATTATGCAATTAGCTATATTTGGCAATATATATTGAAAGCAATATTGTTCATTTTGAATGCAAAGAGTAGCATCTTTACTGATATTATTTTATTTGCAAAATGTCTTGCCTGAATCTTATTAATTAGTATCACTTTATCGAATATACATTTATATACAATATTTTTTTTAACATCATAGGACATGAATGCATTTTATACAATCTAGAACAATATTTTGTGCCATATTTCGATCATTTTATCATCACTGATAAGTAGCCAGTGATCAAATGGTTAATGTATAACTTGGGGGTACGGACACTACAGTAAGGGTACGGACACTACATTTGGGACCAAATCCTTGCATATCTTTTCATAATAAGGGGCAATGTGCTATTTTCTTCCTGAAAAATAAATGTCAGTGTGGACATACATAAAATAATAAAATCAGACAGAATATGCTGTGATTCCTAAATAAAACAGATAGGAGGTACAGACACTACAATCTAATGTAAACAAATGCTGACAGCATCCTTTTTATCATATATAATTTTGAAATAAAAAAGGAAAAAGGGGGATATTTAACAGTAAATGCATGGACATGCAACTAAACCTAAGTTCTGAAGCAGAGAAGAAGGAAATAAAGTGCACTGTTTTACAGGACATCCAAATTTAGGAACTCATCAACTCATCCCTTTATTGTTATCTAGGTCAGGATAAGTAAACAACTGGAGATGCAAATAATTTGTTTATCCATTACCAGCTGTCCCAGAAATAATTCAGGTGTTCAAAGATTATATCTGTAACTATAAGTTCACGCTGGCTTTTTACAATAATCATAATAATAATAATAATAATAGTTATTATGCCATGATATTTCATATCTTTCATGGTTATTTAACTACAATTTAAGTTTAATTTTAAAACATTTTGAGTCACATATCATGTATCACAGAAAACTTATCAGGGATACATTACATTAACAAATTGAAAAATATCATTTTGGAAAAAAAGCACAGTCAAAAAACATGTGCACTGAAGTTACTGGCTTAGATTACAGTCAAAGAATTTGCNACCACATAAGAACACAATGCATTGTTCAGGTCAGAGGGTTCTGGAAAAAGGTTCACCCTGTTTCAAAATCTGATCTAGGTGATACTGTAACATGGTAAAAAATTCCACCTTAAAAAAGGCCCCCCACCCCTATGAAATTGACGCTACAGGCCTGACTATTCATGTTTTTACAGGGGTTAATCATTAAAATTAATATATGAACAAAACAAACATATTGATGAACTTCAATAACAACTGTTTGGAACATTGAACTCTGTGGACAGAATCAAAACCAGTACCAAGGTCATCTTAACAACCCTTTATGTATAAATAGCAGCTGCTACATTGATTCCTCAAACCACATAAGAGGAATTCAAATTTGTGCATTTCAAGTCATAAGAAGACAAGATGGCTTTGGCAAGTTTCATCTTTGCATTACTATGTGTATCAGAACTCAGCACTGACAAGGCGTTTAGTCAAGTGGCACCAAACGCTGTATGCTCATGCCAAGAAGCATACACTTCAGAAGACGGAACAACAACAGTCGTCTTGCAACTGCCCAAGACCAGCACAGCAGTTAGTACTGGTAACAAAAGCCTCAGCGAACTTGACAAATTAAAACAAAACTACCAAAAACAAGCGCAGATGATATCTTCCCAGGGACTTCTATTGATGCAGCAGGCTAAGCAAATTCAGCAAATAGAATTGGAACTCCAAGATCTCAAACTGTCCATTTCTAAACCACCTGCCGACTGTCAAGATGTGCTTGTGTCAGGCAATTCTCCCATATCCGACTCTCAGATCACGGCTTCGTCCATGTATGATTCTAATCACGGCCCTGCTCACTCTAGATTGTACGCCAACGTGGACCAACATGCTGTTGGATCTTGGTCAGCTCTAACCAATGACAACAAACAATGGCTGCAATTTGACTTCGGACGTGTAAGAAAACTGACAGCCATTTTGACCAAGGGAAGAAATCAAATTGCTCAGTTTGTTAAAACATACCAAATTCACTATGGCAACAACACTTTGCTGATGAAGGGATACAGAGATGGAACTGGCTCAGTCAAGGTAATTGTAGAAATTCCAATCTGCTACAATACGTATCATAAATTGTCAAGCAAAGTGTTTTCTATGGTTGTAAATGAGTTGATAATTTGTGAAGTCCGTAACATTTTTTTAATCATTTCATTGAAAAAAAACAGCAATTTAATATATGAATATCAACATATTTCTGCTATCATGTTTTTCTGTATCTGCCACTTGCAAATTAGTTTATACCTCTTTATTCTTTAAGATCAGCCATCTGGTAACATTATCGCTAAACTTTTAAGAGAAAAAAGTTGACTAACACGCTGAGGTGCAGTAGACAGATATAGAATATAGATTAAATAAGATATATACAGATATATCATTTTATGGAATAAAAAAAGTTAAAACATCAAAATCGATGCAAATGAACAAAAATCCAAACAACAATTTACAGAATAGTATGCTCACTACTTATATCATTGTACATTTTATTTAAAAAAAGCAGCTACACGTGGCAGAAATAAAATAATCTTAAACATTAATTTTTATACTTTCAGATCTTCCAGGGCAATATTGACTTGGACAACATTCACGAAAATGTTTTGAACCCTCCTGTGTATGCTCGCTACCTACGTATTAACCCTCTCACTTGGTACGATCACATTTCTATGAGAGCTGATGTGCTGGGGTGTTAACAGTTTAAAGACATGACATTACTTTTATAAATGCGCGTGTTCATATAATACCACTTAGTCTTAAATTTATGCTGGAAATGATAAAGATATATACATAATATGTAGTGCTATGCAATGTTAACACTGACACCTTGCCTTATGCTGGTAAAACTGCAGTGGGGTCAGTTAAATTTTATGAGCATGCTCAGTTAGTGCTTTGTATGGGCAATTAGAAGTATACATTGACCCTGATAGCTCAAAAGATATCAGTCGGCTTAAAAGTTTTTGGCACATATAAGCGTGCCATCAGACATTAATTTGTATTAATACAATGATTAAATGTAAGACTGCAATGTTATCATTTATAATTTTTATTTTAATTCATGAAGAAAAAAAATGACAAGCTGTGTTATCCACTATAAGTAACTATTATCATAAAACTTAAATAAATAATATAGGTTAAATCAAAACNACAGCAGTTAGTACTGGTAACAAAAGCCTCAGTGAACTTGACAAATTAAAACAAAACTACCAAAAACAAGCCCAGATGTTATCTTCACAGGGACTTTTGCTGATGCAGCAGGCTAAGCAAATTCAGCAAATTGAACTGGAACTCCAAGACCTTAAACTATCCATTTCTAAACCACCTGCTGACTGTCAAGACTTGCTTGTGTCAGGCAATACTCCCATATCGGACTCTCAGATTACGGCCTCATCCATGTACAATTCTGATCACGGCCCTGCTCATTCTAGATTGTACACCAACATGGACAATCATATTGTCGGATCCTGGTCAGCTCGCACCAATGACAACAAACAATGGCTGCAATTTGACTTCGGACGTGTTAGAAAACTGACAGCCATTTTGACCAAGGGAAGAAATCAAATTGCTCAGTTTGTCAAAACATACCAAATTCACTATGGCAACAACACTTTGTTGATGAAGGGATACAGAGATGGAACTGGCTCAGTCAAGGTAATCATTAAAATTCTTATCTGTCGTAACATCATAACATGTCAACCCCGGTGTTTTTTATGGCTGTAAATCTGTTAAAAATTTCTGATGTCTTTAACATTTTTTAATCATTTCATTGAAAAAATATATATATCAATTTTATATATAAAAATCAACATATTTCTACTATCACGTTTTTCTGTATCTGCCACATGCAAATTAGTTTATACCTCTTCATTTTTTAAGACCAGCCATCTGGTAACATTAAAAAATAAAAAGTTGATAAACGTGCTGAGGTACAGTAGATATAGATAGATACATCATTTTATAGAATAAAAAAAAAAAAGTTAAAATATCCAAATTGACGCAAAATGAACAATAATCCAAACAACAATTTAAAGGAGAGTATGCTCACTACCTGTAACATTGTACATTTAAAAAAATAGCTTCATGTAGTAGAAATAAAATAATCTAAAACATTAATTTTTGTACTTTCAGATCTTCCAAGGCAACATTGACTTGGACAATATTCACGAAAATGTTTTGAACCCTCCTGTGTATGCTCGCTACCTGCGTATTAACCCTCTCACTTGGTACGGTCACATTTCTGTGAGAGCTGACGTGCTGGGGTGTTAACAATTTAAAGACAATACATAACTAATTATAAATGCACCTTCTTATATAGTACCACTTAGCTTAAAATTTAGATTGGAAATGAGAAACATATATGCATGATATGTAGTGCTCTGCAATGTTAACATTGACACCTCACCTAATGTTAGTAACTGAAAAAACTGCAGCCAGGTCAGTTAAAACATGTGAATATGCTCAGTTTCTGCTTCCTATTGGCCATTAGAAGTGTACATGACTCTGACAGCTCAAAAGATATCAATCCATAAGCACTGATAACCATTGTATTTAACAATAACTCATTTTGTATGGTTAAATGTAAGACTACTGTAACAATGTTATCATTTTTTATGTTTTACTTTTATCAGAAATAAATCAATAATCTATATACCAAATCATGTTACTATAATAATATTAGTTGCTTCAAATAACAGCTTAAATCTGTTTTTGTCTTTTATCAATTAAAAGAGAGAGAGAGAGAGAGAGAGAGAGAGAGAGAAATAGAGTGAGAGAGAAATAGAGTGAGAGCAAAATTTAATTTACTGACCCTGAGGCGATCATATTTCCAGAGCTGGAGAAGCAGACCGCCATGACAGTCTCCCGGTGTCCTGCTAGCGTGTCACGGAGGATCAAAGAGACATCTGGCAAAAAAAATAACGTTGTTTTAATAACTTTTATAGACTGCATAGTTTTAAATTCTAACTGGAAATGATTTCTTAATTTGTTTTCACCAATCTGATGTTTTTCTTCTGCCTCTCCTTTTTTATAAGAGCATAATTTAATGTAGAAATGAAATTGCTTTACTCCTCATTGCAAAAGCTTTCTTTCCATATAAATGCATACACAAAAAGATAAAAAGTTTTTTAACAATAAAATTAAACAGCTTCCATATACTACGAAATAATATATCTTACATCTTGTTATTCAATTTTTGTGGTCAAGCAAATTATAAGACCCCCCCCCTGACTCTGGGCTTCAGTGATCAATTACTAACTAACCTCTGCTATTTCCAGTAACCAGGGATGAGACTGCAATTTAGTGAAAAAGTCAGAAAATATGGCACGGGATTCAGGGACCGCCTAGGCCATTGATATTTTTGGCTCCCATAAAGTTGGAAATCAGACAATAGTCAGAAAAAAATCTCATCCCCGAGTAATACCCTGAGTTTCAAAGTTTTCTGTATAAAGTTACTGCAACAGGCAGAGATGCAGTGAAAGCAGAAACCAGTTTCTAGCATCTGAAACTCAGGGTGCACAAAACTTACCTGTGGTCCCAAATCGGGCTCTAAAATTCCACAGTTTGACCAGGTTGTCATTACCACATGTTGCTAGAAGATACTGCACTTCACCTGTTGAACTAAGAGCACCTGAATCAAAATAAATACAGTTTATTTCTCCAGTGTATTCTAAATATCAATAGCATGCAGGATGTCTAAATGTTGTTAGCAGGAGTGAGTGAAAAAGTTAAATAACACTAAAATCAATCAAAGTGTTTGTTGGTTTGCTAGGTAAGACTCCCTTTAAAGCAACGATTTACTAAAGAATCCATACTACACAATGTAGTATATAGTTGATAGTACGTTGTTTGTTGCCTTTTTCATGTTGGAAAAAAGAAAATATTGAACCCAAGATTTGTAAGGGGACATGCAGAATGGGTTAGGTTAAGCTAGCCAGCGTGCACTGTTTCCATGGGGACTCTCGCATAATGCAATCAGGTTTATAAATTAACACACCTCTTGTTTGAAACGTTCTTCCATAATCACCAGCTTTTCTATATTCTACTCAACACGTTAGTCTCATAATCTGATTGCACATAACAACAGTCCCCGTGTCAGTCCAAGTGCACACCAGATGATCTGCAGATAAATCTGTCCTTGGATCAAATATGGCTGACCCCACTGGAAAATGATGCTAAATAATATAATGATTTCCCTGCCTACCACATGAGCCAGCCCTGCAGGGACCTAACAATTAAACAAATTAAATCTAAGCTCTGAGGCCCATGCAGGGTGGGCTCGTGTGCAAGGCTTGATCTGTTAGTCCTCAGGTCAACCGTTTTGAATGCGGCCTAACTCATTCTGAACTGCCAGGAAGACTAAAAACTTACTGCCTGCTCCAAAGGTTGGTGAAAACTCGCAGCACATCACCCCCAAGTCGTGACCCTCGAGTTCATACCAAAGACACGGCCCGTGGCCAAATTCAGCATCCCACGCACGGAGGTCCCCATTTGAGGACCCTGAGACAAGAAAGCCACTACAGGGGGTATAGGCAACTGCATTCACATAGGCTGTGTGGCCCACAAGAGTTCTGGAGGAAAGAGAAGGAAAAAAATTCATTTGTTACATAATTTGATATGGTGAATGAAGTGTTTTTTGCAGAAACTTGTGAGTCTGCTTCTCATTGGAATGGATATAATAATATCAATTATGTCTATGGGAAAAAAAATCTCAACCAACTATTAGTATTCAGCAAAACTAATTTTTTAGACATATGATAAATTAAATTACGAAAAAAATATATGCCCAGTGTACATTTTATGAGGATGTTTCCAGTATTAACTAATAAAGATTAGCTTGAGTTAAATCCTGATACTCGATGTCACTATCAGTATATATATATATATATATATATATATATATATATATATATATATGCGGATACTGATGCCTTGTGAGATACCTGTGCAGTTTTTTGGTTTTCATGTCCCATATCACCAGTGTCTCGTCATCACTCCCCGTGACCAGCCAGGAGGAATTTGGGGAGAACCTGAAGAAAAACAACAACACATGGTAGGGAACATCAGTTTTGATCATCATTTTCACAAGTCTACAAAGCGTAAACTTTTTCCAGCCAACATCCCCCCCCCTTTCAGAGTAAGTTTAAGATAAAACGCTAAAACTGATGTCCTTGAAAGCAATATGGATCTTCATTTTTATGATTGTTCAAAAGTGTACAAAGGGATATGTAGACTTGTGAATATAGGATGACAAAAATGGATACCCCTTACCTAAGTACTCATTTATTTAGCATGGAAGCTTGGTTAAACGACCTTTACCCTGAATGGGCAGGCAAGAAGTAATGACATTTAAAAACCTGCATTATATTTCCATTGGTATAAAAATTCACAGACTAATAATCATAATAATAAACATTATATAATATACCTACCTGCAAACCCTGATACCGCTTTTACTAGGATGCTCAAACGTTCCTTTCTTCTCTCCAGTCTTACTGTCCCACAATATCACCTTCCCGTCTGTGGAACAAGATGCCAGCATTGTCCCGAATGGAGAAAAGACACAGCAATGCACATAGTATCCATGTCCACACAATGGCGAGCAGGGGTACTCGGTGAAATCTTCTGTGCTCCACAATCGGACTGTTTTATCTCCAGAACATGTTGCGAGGGTCTTGCCGCTGTAAGCCACCCAGTTGACGTCACTTTGGTGGAGGCTGATGGTGTGAATGAGGTTGGCGACGGTGGTCATGGCTTTCTGTAATGTGGTAAATATGAAAGTTCATTCAGTTATTTTCACTGCTTGATCATTTTCATTAAAATTAAAGTTTGACTACATAGTGCATACCATATTTATAATGTGCATCTGAAGGTAAGCTGAATGTCACAAAATTTTGGATTGCTCAACATCTGTGCCTCGTGTTATAGACGCGTTTGGGACGACGTCAAGTTTTGTAGTTACTATGTGTACATATTGTTTTCAGTGTAAATGTAATTCTTGTATTTACAATAACACTTTTAGTTTAAAATATCCAAGTTTCCGGGTCAGCTGACCTTTTAGCTGTATTAGCACAGTCTGGATCAATGGTAAAATTTATGTACAACCTACCTTTGCCTGTGAATATTTGTTGTAAACTATCCGCCTGTAATTCTGTGATTAGATCAGATATTGCGAAACGGTATTAAGTCTGATGCAGTGGTCACCTGACGGTCTAATGTTTACGGTGCCATCTTGAACGGTAAGTACTATCGCGCGCTAAAAGACGTATACCGAAATGTTCAACAGAAACACAGCATTACTCGTCTTATCTTACGTATTATTGGGAATTAAGAATTAAAATACAATGTGTCATATTATAAATATCATCTTCAAATTTATTATCTATTTTATACAAAACATTAACATATTTACTTGGTAAATAAGAAATATACAAATATACGCGCGTTTCTTTAATCTAAATATCTGTCTAAATATCAAGTTTTTTCAGCTGGTATATACCTCGGCATCTAAACAACCTACATGTTGATAAAGGGTTAACATATCTTGGCGAAAAGGCAATTACAAGTTACTTAATTTATTTTTGTTTAAAAATTAAATAGTTTTGATTAAATCTGAAACGAGGAAAACAATATGCAATGATCTTGATTGTGGTTGCTGAGATCGCTGAGTTAACTTAGTTAAAATTGCAACAGTTGTGTCACTTGAATACTGATTGTTTCTTATAACACTAGTTGGCCTTCACGTATCATTTTCATGAAGACAGTAGCAATTTCTAATATATTATTTTTTATGCTTTGAATTGTTACCTCATCACTGGGATATCTAGATTTTTAGGTCATATATGAAAACAAATATATGTTTAAATGTAAGTTTTCATTTTCATATAAAAGCTTCAATTTTTCGAACATGTTCCTTTTCACCTGACAGGGCCTATATGGGCACACATTTCATTTTTGACAAATGCATATGTACAAAACATAATTTGTATTCAAAATAAAATGTTAATTTGATATTTTCAGCCTAGACCCCGTCTAGAAATTAATAATGCAAGAAAAATTTAGGCTACTTATTGTGATTGAATGGGTTAGAATCTCATGCTCGTGTTATTGACCTTTTCGTAAATAAGTCTTTTAGGGGACCGAAAATGGACATTTTTTCCCTCCAAATATTGCTCATATCGACAAAGGTAGTACATATCCAATGGCGGATTTAGAGGGGGCCGGGTCATGGGGTCCTGAACCCCACGCCAAGTCGGGGGGGGGGGGGGGGG